GTAACAAAAAACACATGTGTTGAATATAGGGAAAAACTGTATAGGGTTAATTTCCCTTATGTATTTACCACACATAGGGCAATGTATTTATAATAAAGAAAGGTACTCCTAAAAAGAGTAACAGAATACAAATAGAGTAAATAAAAAGATATTATTTGATATTGTGATTAACAATATCTAACAATATCTCAACAATATCAAACAATATCAACTAATATCTAATCATATCTAACACTCCCCCTCAAGCTGGAGCATACAAATCGTATGTGCCTAGCTTGGTACAAAGATAATCCATCCTAGGTCCCCAGTAAAGACTTAGTGAAAATATCTGCTAATTGATCACATGAGTTAACGAACTCGGTCTTGATGTCTCCAGACATAATCTTTTCCCGAATAAAATGGCAGTCAATCTCAATGTGTTTAGTCCTCTCATGAAAGACGGGATTAGAGCTTATATGGAGAGCGGCTGATTGTCACACACTAGTGTCATTTGAGTGACATCTCCAAATTGTAGCTCTTTAAGCAATTGCTTGAGCCAAATAAGTTCACGGGTAGCTGAGGCCATAGCTCTATACTCGCTTCGCACTTGGATCTTGCCACAACACTTTGTTTCTTACTTTTCCATGAGATCAAGTTACCACCAATGGAAACACGGTACCCGGATGTAGATCTTCTATCGGAGGGAGATCCGCCCAATCGAGCATCCGAATAGCGAGACAACTCTTGTATGATTATGAGAGTCATACACCAAACCTTTTCCAGGAGACTTTTTGATGTACTTCAATATACGGATGACTCGCATTCCAATGATCTTGACAAGGAGAATTGAGGAATTGACTCACCACACTGACTGCAAAGGAAATGTCGGGGCGAGTAACTGTAAGATAATTTAATTTTCCAACTAATCTTCTATATTGTTCGGGATCTGACATTGGCTCCCCCGATTTGGCAAGAGTTTGGTATTAGGATCCATGGGTGTGTCAACGGGCTTTGAATTCATCAACCCAGTTTCCTCCAAAATATCCAATGCATACTTTCTTTGAGATATAACAATGCCATTGGTAGATTGTGCTACCTCAATACCCAAGAAATATCCGAGTTTGCCAAGATCTTTGGTTTGAAAATGGTGGCAAAGGTGTTGTTTCATCCGAGAGATGCCATGATGGTCACTACCTGTAAGAACAATGTCATCGACATACACTATCAAATAGATACATCCGAGCATTCGAGTGACGGTAAAAGGCTGAGTGGTCTCGCCTCACTTCTAGTCATGCCAAATTGTTGAACAACGTTGCTAAATTTTCCAAACCAGGCCCTAGGAGAGCTGTTTTAGGCCATATAAAGATTTGCGAAGACGACATACCAATCCAGAAGACTCCCCCGAGCAACAAATCCGGGAGGTTGCTCCATATAAATCTCTTCTTGCAAATCGTCATTCAAGAAAGCATTTTTGACATCCGAGTTGATAAAGAGGCCATTGTTGAATAGCGGCCATGGCAATGAATAAACGAACGAAGCCATCTTTGCCACTTGGAGAGAAAGTATCACCATAATCCAACCCAAAAATTTGGGTATAGCCTTTGGCTACAAGGCGAGCTTTGAGGCGATCAATAGTACCATCAGGACCAACCTTGATAGCGAAGACCCACCTGCAACCAACAACAGATTTTCCGGATGGTAATGGGACAAGCGTCCAGGTTCCACTAGTCCGAAGAGCACAGAGTTCATCTAGCATGGCCTGACGCCAACCAGGGTGGGCTAAGGCTTCGAGAGACAAATTTAGGAATAGACACAAAAGAAATAGACGAGAGACAGGTATAAAATGGTGAAGAAATTCGATGATAACTTAAAGCGAGTATAATGTGGAGAAGGATTACGAGTAGAACGCGTACCTTTACGAAGGGCAATAGGAAGGTCGGACTACGTGGACGGAGCCGGAGGAGGCAGAGTATTTGGCACTGGGAGTGAGTCATGTGGCGTCTGTTGTGGGCGAGGTCTGCGACTATAAACCTGAAGGGGTGGTGGAGGAGGAGGGGCTAATGGTGGATGGTCCTCAACATAAGGATCAATGAGAATAGGAATGGGAACTGTAGCGAGATGGAGACTCAGCAGGTAGGGAAGGGTCCTTAAAGTAAAAGGAAAACTCATTGAAGGTGACATCGGCGAGACACAAAATAGCGATTAAGAGAAGGAGAAAAACACTTGTATCCTTTTTGGGATCGAGTAAATCCTAAGAAAACACATTTGTGTGATCGAGGAGATAACTTATCATGACCAGGATCAAAATTGTGGACAAAACAGGTAGACCCAAAAACCTTCGGAGGTAAAGGATGGAGAGTGTCATGAGGAAATAAAATAGAATGGGGAATTTTGTTATCTAAAGCCGAAGAGGGCATACGATTAATAAGATAACAGAGCAGTAAGAACGACATCATCCCAAAAATGTTGAGGAACCTCACCATGAATTAAAAGAGTACGGGTTGTTTCAATAATGTGTCTATTCTTGCGCTCAGCCACCCCATTTTGTTGAGGGGTATAAGCACAGGAAGTTTGATGAAGAATGCCATGAGAAGCCATAAATTGTTTAAACGAGTTTGAAAGATATTCACGGCCATTATCACTTCGAAAAGTTTGAATAGAGACACCAAATTGATTTTTAATTTCATGATAAAAGTTTTGGAATATAGAAAACAACTCGAACGATTTTTCATTAAAAATAACCAAGTACAACGAGAGAAATCATCAATAAAAGTAACAAAATATTGAAAACCTAAATTAGACTTAACACGATTGGGTCCCCAAATGTCGAGTGAACTAAGGCAAAGGGGGATGAAGCACGTCTGGGAAACACTACGAGAAAAGGAAGTACGACTGTGTTTGCCTAAGCGACAGGACTCACACACCAAATTGGACAAGCTGGGATAAGCTGGGAACAAGTTGTTGTAATTTGCGCAGACTGGGGTGACCAAGGCGAGCATGAAGGAGAGAAGGAGACTCCATAAGCTGTGCCAACATGTGGAGAAGGTTGAAGATAATAAAGTCCATGTGACTCACATCCGGTGCCAATCACTCTTTGCGAGCTCCGGTTACGTAGGGAAACGAAGTTTTGGTAAAAGAGATAACACAATCAAGAGATCGAGTTAGATGGCTAATGGATAATAAGTTAAAGGGGGACCCGGTACATACAAAACATTATCAATGGACAACGAGGGAAAAAGAGTAACTAGTTCCAACACCATGAGCTAAAGTTGTAGACCCATTAGCCATTGTAACGAGAGGGTAAATTATGAGAAGAAGTGAAAGAGGAAAATAAGGATTTGTTACCGGTGATGTGATCGGTGGCGCTCGAGTCAAGAACCCAAGGGCCAATAGAAGAAGAGTGAGTCGGACCGAGCAAAAGATGTACTGTGTGGGCAACGAAGTAGTGGAAGCTGGAGGGCTTTCGATCCTCATACCATTGAAGAAAATCATTGAAGATAGCAGATTTGTGCGAAGGTACAGACGAAGGAGGATCCACAGCGAGAGGATTGTGCGGAAGAATCGGTCCGAGCAAGCTGCAGCAGATCGGCGAGGATAACCATGTAAAGCATAACATTTGTCAATTTTGTGGCCTAGTTTGCCACAATGGTCACACTTGACACGCCCTTTGCCCGGCTTATGAGAGCGATTACGATCATCACGGTGAGAGGCCAAGGCGAGATGAATCATTAGAAACTACAGGGGGAATATTGAGAGGTTTACATGGCACCCACAAAAGGGAGGAAGCTGGTAGCGGTAAAGCTGGGTGTAACAGGGGAACCCAAAATCCGGTCACGAACAGGGGCATATTTATCGAGCAAGTCCGTGTAACATCAAAACCATGAAAAACTTTGATCGTTGCTCTAATTCTTGGGCAGGAGTCGAGGCGGGGGTAATAACTCATTAAATTCATGGAGAAGAGCATGGATCTTACCCACATAATCCGCCACAGGATCCTTATCGCGAGGAGCAATAACATCAAGAAGATTGTAACAAACACCATAAAGACGTTGAGTGTCATTGGTGTATAATAATTTGGCTTGTTCCCAAACGTCATAACATGTGTCATACGATCGAAAAATTTGTTTTAAAGAAGATTGGATGGTATTCTTGAGAACCATACATATATGAGCATCAACTTTCTTCCAACGGACACGATCATTGGAAGGAACATCATCTACCTTGGTAGTAAGATGATCAACATACCACCGACTCTCAAGCCAAAGTCTAATATCGGATGCCCAAGTTGCATAATTCGTACCATCTAATTTATCAATGGGTAAATTCACATTGACATAATTAGTAAAAACAGATTGCTCAGACCCACCGGAGCTGACAGAGGTAACTTCAGAATTGGAAGTGGCAGCGGAAGATGCCATGGAAGAAGAGAGAGAAAAACCCTAAAACACCAAAGAGGTCCGATTGGAGCAGCGAGGACAGATCCAGAGAGAGGAGAAGGAGGCGACGCCGGCGCAAAGATCGGCGGCCTGAACGACGGCGAGACGCGCCGCCACACGCGGCAGAACGGGAGAAGGTGGCGCGGCTTCGGGAGGCGCGTGAGGGAGCGTGGCTGTTCCGATGACCGCGAAACTTCCACAGTGGAGGTCGCACGGAGGAGGCGAGCAAAACCCTGTGCTCGGCGGTCCGAACTACTACTCTGGTGACGGTGGCGGCGACGGCGGACGGCGGTGGCGACGGCGGCGGCGATGGAGGCGGCGACAGCTGCAGGTTCAGTGGCAGAGCCGAAAAAAATCCCAAGAGACCTTAAGCTCTTGATACCATGTTGAATACAGGGAAAAACTGTATAGGGTTAATTTCCCTTATGTATTTACCACACATAGGACAGTGTATTTATAATAAAGAAAGGTACTCCTAAAAAGAGTAACAGAATACAAATAGAGTAAATAAAAAGATATTATTTGATATTGTGATTAACAATATCTAACAATATCTCAACAATATCAAACAATATCAACTAATATCTAATCATATCTAACAACATGTTTTCTAAGTAGTGTACTGAGATCAAGAATTCCTTGCCTCTGAAGCTTCAGTTTTAGGTACATATTTGCTGCAGACTCTATTAGTACAAGTAGCATAAGGTCATTTTACCAATAATTTATATCTACACACGCATATCTTTGTATACAGCAAGCAAGTTGAAATTTATAGAAATATTTTTAATAAATGGGAACAAGATTAGCTTCAGAAAGAAGTCATACCAGATATAGCTGGGGTAAGAATCCCATCTCCAATAACCATGCAGGTGCCAACAAGAACAAGAATAAGAATGACACTCCTTGCAGATTCTTGTTCCTCTAACCATCTTTTGGTTTTTGAAGCAAAAGACCTTTCATGGAAGGTAGACCGACTATATGTTGTTAGCTCTTCATCAGTTCGATGTTGGTTGGGAATGGTTTTTATCTTTGCATGTCGGCAAAGCAAGGAATAAAGTGCAAATGTTCCACCTGTTCCACAAATGTTAGTTTGACAAAACCTCATTACAGTTCAGCAGTCTGAAGTAAGCATATTTATCTAATGCAACCTATACAAAAATAAATTTTGAATTTTAATTAAAATTATGAAAGGAAACTGGGTATTTGATATAGTTATTATGAATTTTTACTATGAATAATAAAACACTGCAGATATCCAATGAAAGGCATAAAGCAAGGGGAAAATTTTTCATGTATTAAGATATCCATCTCATTTCAGATTTCTGACTCAAGCTATCATATGGGATGGAAATATTTACTACAGATAGTGTATGTTGTAGGAATTTTCTTTACATAAAATATTATTAAAACCAGATTCATGAAGCTAATTTGTTCACTTAGAAAAGTTGTAATTTAGTACCAAGTATTATCTTAAACATATACACCAACAGTGAACAATGTACCTTGGCCATTGTCATTTGCTCTTAATACAACAAAAACATACTTGAGGAGTGGCACCAAGGTAAGAGAGTAGATAATCAAGGAAAGAGCTCCAATTACATCCTCCTGATCTTTCACTCCATTGGGAAATGTATTGTAGAAAACATACAGGGGGGAAGTTCCCAAGTCTCCATAAACCACACCAAGACTCTGAAATGAAAGCCGCAGGAGCAGCAATGCTGAAAATTTCTGAGCAAATAAAACTATGTTAACAAGGAATTACATACCAAATCTCAAAGCTTACATAATAGCTTATTGAAGCATCTGCATTCTGTAATCTGCACAACACCAGAATAGTTGGATTTCTCCACCAAATTGACATTATGTACTCAAGTTGTCTTAACTATATTTGTCATTTAAGTGAGACTAATAAGGTTTCAAATTGTTGTTGCAGTTATGGCTACAGTTGCAATCCAACCATTCCTTGATGTTTCAGAAAATTGCAGACAAAAACTGTTGATGCAGCCCCAACAGCAGTTACTTTAAGTATTTGTCTTTTGAACAAGACTAATAAGGTTTCAAATTGCAGCTGCAGTTGTTGCTGCAGTTTCAGTTTCATCGCAATTCTTGATGTTGTAGAAAATTGTAGACAAATGCAGCTGATGCAGCCCCAAATGCAGTTGCGGAGAGTCCAAAACCCTTGACTTTGCAACCAAACTTTTAGTTGCAGACTGGTTTTCAAGATCTGAGCTATTTCAAATCTATGCTCCGCAGTGCATTTTAAAGTAGAGAATCTTTCTTGATTCTAACAAAAGCCCTAGTTTTTGTTTAATTTGTGTTCTAATGAAGTTCTTGACTAGAGCAACTAAGAATACAAATAAGTGGATTGAAATTAATAATAAGAACGGACAAACAAAATTATAGATTCCATAACATAAAGTCCAAGAATCCAAATAGTTAGTGACATTTGACGATACCTACATTAACCAACATACCCCAGTGCCAGAAGGCTCCTCGCTTTGCGAAGGTATGGGGGAAGGTCGCTGTATACTGCAAAGAGGATGTTTTCTAATTCAAATCATGACCAACCGGTCACCAAGGCATAACTTCACCATTGTGCCAGGGGTGCTTCGCGGAGGATATCTATATTAATTAAATTTTTAATGTTGGATTGACAATTCATCGCAATTATTAATTTTTGTACAAGTTAAGAACCATATTTATAAGTAATGAATTGCATTTTTCCCCAATAGTTAACAGTAATGACAACAAATTCAGTAAGAGAAAGAATGTAAAACCAAGTTGCAATGAGGCATCATACTTTTTCTCTGTACATATTTCTAAGCCTTCCTGCCTCTTCATCCATAGGCTGGTCGAGCTTCTGATCCAAGTCCCACATACTACCTCTGTTATCACTTTCGTCATCAGTATCTACTCTTGAACTCATTTTGAGCTCAGTTAAACAACTTGGTTTCCAACCAGTAACAGCTATGCTGCCTTATATTCTTCCTTTTCAAGAATCCCTCCACCCCTTAAGAAAAATACACAGAAAAGCTTTCAATAATAAACCTTCAGGCCTTAAATTTGAAGTCACTCGAAATCCATGCCTACAGCAACCACGGATCCAAACCACCCAAAAAAATCTGAAAAATATAGCAAAATTGATTACTTCACTGAGGTACATGATCTATGCATAGAAGACAAGAAGAAAAAGGACAACCCAGTAACAAATATCTGTACCCTTAAATTGATCTAGGCTCAGACTACCAAAAACTTCACCAGAGAAAATAGGATAAAAAGAATCAAACTTTGCCAGGCCTACATACATATGCATGGTAGTATATACATTAAGATTGAAAGTTATCTTGAGCAGCCAAATACCCTAACAAAAACACTAAAATTTGAAACCGAGAAACGCAAATTTGTCCATGCAACCATACCCTTTAATGAAAAACAGGAAAAATTCATGTTTGCAGGATTTTATCTGAACCAAGCCTCACCTGCTGTAGCATAATCAGCTAATTGCCACTGAAATTTCCAAAGTGAATTTTTTTGTTCCTTCCAGGTCTTGCAAACTAAGAACCCATCTCAATTTTCACTTATCCAGGCCGAGTCTTGAAAAATTAGAGATGAACAAAGACATGCAAGGCTTTTCACGGGAAACGAAGATTGTAACAGAACAGCAACAGAAACAGAGTGCCCTTCTTCTGAGCTTGTATTAGCTTTTTCCGGTAAGTCAGCACTATTTTTTCTTGAAAGCTAGCAGACAAAAAATCTCAGAGTGAGAGAGAGAGAGAGAGAGAGGGACAAACCCAGAAGAACTAAATTATAATCTAGAGAGAGAATGCAAGTAGAAATGAGAGATGACAGAGAGACGTGAACGTGGGACCCCAAATTAACTTTTTTATTTTATTTTTTCATTTGTTGTGTTTGTGTTCTTCTTCTTTTACTTTAGTTTTTCACTTTTTACCATGATGCTGTTTTCTGGGGTCCTCCAAATGCTGTTATTTAAAACTAAATTCCGAATCAGAATTCTGGTGCACATTGAAAACGATAATAAAAGAAAAAGGTTCTAGAATTGGCCAAGTTGGATCAAAAGGTTTCTGTAGTTTATCGTAATCTTTTTGGGTGGCTAACTTATAATTGGTCAAGACTTTGAGTAATTATTTAAGAGTTGCAATCAAGTACACTACATTAAGGTGCTGCTTTTAACAAGTATTGTTTGAGAACATAATAAAATTTTAATTGTTCATTAATTTTTTAAAATTTGTATACTAAAAAAATACTTTATTTAATTCACATATATAATAGAAACACAACTGTTAAAGTGATTGTGTATCCACATTTTATTTATAATTAATTTTTTTAAAATGTTTTTTAAAGTCAAACGAATTTATAAATTACAAATAGTTGAAAGTATTCATTTTGAATTGCGCATCTTCGTAGTTATCTAGTCTTAAACATAATTATTCTAAGTCATATTTATGTGGTTTTTTCAACTCTCAAATTAAGATTGTATGTTTTAATTTTGGTAGGTGGGCTTTTGAATGATGGTTTGGTCGACAGAAATCTGTTTTAAGATAAAACATGCTTTCGTCATATTTTTCTTCTGGCTTTCTTCAAAATCACAACTGTATTTTATGAAAATAATTCTATTTATGAATATTATTATAATTATCATTAAATTTAAAGTATTTTTAATTTTACAATTCTAATCGGTTATGAGTTAAAATATATAAATTATTTGGATCTTAACTCTACACGATGTGAAGCTTCTTAATATATTGAAATAGGAATTAAATTCATATTACTTAAATTAAAACCGGTAATAATTTTTTAAATTTCTAAAATTTTGGACATATAGTGCCATTTTTTTATATAATTTTTTATCATTTATCTTTTTATAATTTAATAGTTAAAATGCATCATTATTTATATCATTAAATTAATAAAAGGTTATAATAAAGATTTGAATAAATTTATTTATTTTTGGAGTAAATGATCATCTCCTGATACTAAGTTTTGAAGTAATTATTTTAAAAAGAAGTTTCTCTCTTCCACAAAATTTATGGGTTGTTGACGGCGTCAACTACTTGTCATTTATTGTAAAATAAAATAAAAATTTATTCAAATTGTTTTGCATCACTAGTTTTAGTTCACTTTTATTTTCGTAAAATTTAAAAGAAAATTAATGTTTTTGTGAAAAAAAGATCGATGAAAATACTTTATGAGCTGTTATGGTAAAGAATTTATTAGTAAACAAAAATAAAAGCATTAATTTTATGTTATTCTGGTACACATGACTTTGGTAAAATTTATTAATATTTTTATGAATTTTCACCTATTATTTCTGACATTCTTTTAACCTTCTTAGATTGATATAATTAAATAAGAAATTAAAGAAAGTTTATCTATGTTAAAGACACAAATAGTATTATAATGTTACAAAAGATAAATAATAAAGATTTGTATATCTTTAAATAATAAAAAAAGCTGTATATGATTAAAAAGGAAAAAGGTATTAAATGAACTAATTGTTGAATTAAAATATACACAAATAAGAGATATAGTGGGTAGAAGAAAAACAATTTTGGTTGAGTATAGATGATAATTTTATAGTCAACAAAAAAAAAAATCAAATTTATCACTATTAATGGATATGAATGAAATTTATGTAATATATATTTTCATTAATATGATGCATTAATGTTTTAAAGCTTTATGTCGTATTAGTTTAATTTGGTAGTGTGAGAACAATTGACTTTAGGTTTAGTATATTATGTTTAACTTTTTAATTATACTTATATAATATAAAAATGTGATTTCATATATAAAAATCTTGTTGCTACATAATATATTAATATCTACAATAATTCTATAATATGATATTATTGTTATAGTGAAAGAGATTAAAAAAAAAATTATGAGTTAAACGAATATTTAAAAAATATAAAATATTGATAAAAGAGTATTTTAAGATATATATATATATATATATATATATATATATATATAAATTTGAGAGTAATTATGAAATAAAATATATTATCAAAAATCATTAAAAGGTTGATAAAGGGGAGATATTAGGAAAAAAGATAATACATTAATTAGATTAATAAGGAAATATTTAAAAAAGGTAGCGAACAAATGATAAAAATGTCTTCAAAAATAAGGTAAAAAATATGAAGAAATTTTGAAGTTTGAAAAAAAAATTGAATAATAAAAAATCAATAAAGAAGTTACACTTATCCAATAAATCAATAGAAAAATTAAAAAAAAACATACTATCAATCAAAATATATATATATATATATATATATATATATATATATATATATATATAGGTTGCACTAATTTTTTTATTTTGAATTTAAAATAATTATATATATATATATATATAATATAATATAATCATAGTAGATTTTTCATAAGAAAATATTTAAATAAAACTATTATAACAATTTCACGATTTCAAAATAATTCATTAAGTATTATCACTCAGTTTGTCCCTACAAAGGTTCATTATCTGCAAGATTATTTTCTTCTATATAAATATATCATCATCATAATTATAAAAACAACCTACAAAATACATTGAGTAAACTTTCATTTCTCAATTATGTCATCAACCAAATACTTTCAACCAAAAACTAGTATTAGCCACATGTTCGTAACTTTCAACCAAGTCACAACTAAAAAAATAAAGTATTTACACTCAGCTCACTAGCTCCACCACATGTCACTTCCCACATACACTACATTCACATGTCACTTCCCCTAAACACTATATTTACCACCTTATTGGCATATTCTCAAAAACATTAAGAAGCTGCATGATTTTTGGTAAACACATTAGTTAAATTTGAAGTTTAGAAATATGCATCTCACACATTATTGTCTTCGAATGTTCATACATATACATTCATAATCTTAATACATTATTTTTTAAGATAACTAATCCAACAAAGATCGTATTGTAATTACATAAATTGTGTATCTTTAAACGATTAGAACTTAATTTAAATTTATACATCTCAAAATAAATCAAATCCTAATCAGAACAAGTACTCAAAATTCTTAAATTTCTCTCATATACACGACCATGCCACTCCTAGAGGGCAACATTCCTCCATATATATATATATATATATATATATATATATATATATATATATATATATATTCAACCAAATTGTGGTTCCTCTACCACAATTGTTCCATCATCACCTAAGATACAATAGTAAGGATGAATTTCTTTTTTTCATCACTTTAGAACACTAAATCGAAATTTTTTTCAACTTTCACGTTCTAAAACCATATGTAACATTTATAGTCAAACATTTTATTCTTACAATAAAGTATTACACAAAGCAATTTCAAACAATCTCCACAAATCACATTACTCAAACTAAAAACACACATACATGCTTGTGTTTTAATTCGTTCATTTTTTTGTACATTTGAAATGTTCATGCACCTAGGATACACTATCAATCCCATCTCTTAATCCATGAAAGGATCACACATAAGTACAGAGAACTCTCACAAGTATAACAAACTTACACACGAGCACCAATAGCCCACACGAGCCTAGATAACTCCCACAAGTATAATAAGCTTACACACGAGCATAAATAACTCACAGAAGTATAGATGGCTGCCGATTGATCTGCGCATCACAGATACAATACTTACGCATACGATCCCTTGACAAAAAGACAAAGTCAAAGAGGCAAGTCAGGATTATAGAGCGTGGTCAAACAATGCATTATATATTTCCCCAACATCACTCTGATCTTCTCTTATTTCTTAAGTCCCCGGTGTATCTCCGTACCATCCACACACATATCTCGTCACTGAGTGACACCACCAACTCTTTAACAACAATTTGTTTGGTGGAAACAAACTCTCCAACATACAAACTATCTCACTATAAACATAATACCCTACTTTTATATGACCAACATCTCTGACTTAGACTCAACACATAACACCAACATCCTATAGACATGATTTCCACTAACTATCATGATTATGAATGCATTACCTATTTATAATTTTTCTTTATACCATTCTTATTAAGCTTTATTTATTTTTCATCCATTTGAAAAATTTAACAGAGTCTCCTTTGTAATTTGAACATTTCCCAATTTATAAATACACTCAAATCAAACTCATACAACACATTTTCCTACATCAAACAAGAACAATATAAATTTGTCGAGGGTCGGATACTCTCGGACTCAGCACACATTGCGATCCATCAAATTTTTTAAACTCTTGTTCATATAATCTTGTGTCCCAAAATATCTCATTACACTATCATTCTCACATCATACATACTCATAAAATAAATAATAGGTCAAGAACTAAAGTTTTGTTTACACTTCTCTTGAAAGAAAAATCTATTATAAGCCTTAGAAAAATGTAACTTTAGAGAAATTCTTTCCCATCTAAACTAACTCCAAATTCTATAAAATTTTCCAGTAAAAAATACATATATTCTAGGATTATAATAAAAATTATAACTCAAAATTTAAAGATTTCTAAGTCATTCAAAATTTTCCTCCCTTTTCACACGTTTTGAAGATTTCACTATCAGGGCAATACTTAAAGATATATTTTTATAAAATAAAATAATGGTCATAAAATTATGAAAATAAATATACTTAACATATACCTACAATCACAATTATGATAAAATTTTAATCTCAAAACACTTCAATTTAGATTTTATATGATTTTTCAAAGTTTCTGGGCGGACATAACAACTTTGTGTCACCCAACTCAAAACCTATTCACTTCCAAGATTTTTCATGGAAAACTTACTTGTCAGAAAATTTTAAAATAAATCACACACGAACTAGACATATGAAGGAACATATAACCAAAAATTTTAGAATTAAATACTAAGTAAATATTTTTATATAATTTCTTAAAGATTCTATTCACATGCAGATTTTTCCAGCAACATTTCTCAACATAATTTTTTCATCATCTTCCTCTAGAAAAATCCAATTTAAGTGATTTTTGTGGCTAACTCTAGGTTTTGGCATCCAAGGAATCCATTTTTAAACTCTAAAATATGAAAGGAGCATTGTAGAGTATCCAAATATACTAGAACAACTATACAAAATTTTTATAAAATATTCTAGTTTGGTTTCAATTCATGTAGAAGTGAGATAAATGGTGGTTTAGCTTAGGGTTGATGGCAAGAAGACTCTCCTTACCTCAAATGAAGCTTTCAAATAAGAAAATGAAGATCCTTAGTTCAAGAAAGGGTTTGTCTCCTATAAGCATCAAAATGAATATATACTTGAGATTAAGAAGATTTTAGGAGATAATATGATATGGTTCTTAATAGAACCAATTAGAAAACTAGGAATCTCACTAAGAAACTCGAAGAATTCTTGGAAATTCAGAGAACTCTAGGAAAGAAAGGGTTCTGAGGATTTATTATCAAGAAATGTTTGATACAATATAGAGAGAAGTAAGAATGATTTTCTTTTTAAAAAAGATCCTCGCATTGGTTGCAACCAACTATCTTTTATAGCTACAACCAAACATTAAGCAGAAAATGTAGTTACTAACTGCCTTAACTACTTATCAATGCCAACTGTCAATTATAACAATTACAACAAATATACTAATTACAACAATTACAACAGATATACTATAACATTTCCCTCTCCTTCAAAAAATCCTTGTCCTCAAGGATGGAAGTCTGTATATTTCTTCAGCAAGTCATAATAAAATTTCCATGTCGAGTATTCTACTGCTTGATCTCTCCACTTAACTAAGACTTTTGTGGCTGCTTGTCCTTTCCTCTTGACAAAAGTGCGGTCCAAAATGGCTTCAGGTTCTTTAACACCAAAAAAATTATTTGAAGTAGTAGGTAGAATAGATGAAGTAATTACTGGTCCAACATGTTTCTTCAATTGAGATACATGAAAAACATCATGTATTTTTGAACTTGTGGGTAACTTTAGTTTATAAGCAACTGCTCCTATTTTGTCTACCACCGGGAATGGACCAAAATACTTTGGAGCTAGTTTTTCATTTCCCTTTTCTGCCACTGAGACTTTCTTGTAAGAATGCAACTTTAGATAGACTAAATCTCCAATTTCAAACTGTCTATTAGTTTTGTGTTTATCTACAATTTGCTTCATTCTTTCTTGTGCCCTTCTTAAATGGAACTTCAGCAGTTTGAACATCTCTTCCCTCTTAGTAAGACTTCTGTCTACTAAGTCAATTTTTTTATTCACTAGGAAGGTAAGGAAGATAAGTAGGAGGTGGTTGTCCACATACTATTTCATAGGGAGTAGCATTGATGGCTGTGTGAAATGTGGTGTTATACCACCATTCAGCAAGAGGCAGCCACTGAACCCAATGAGAAGGAGTGTCACTACACATACATCTCAAGTAAGTTTCAAGACATCTATTAACAACTTCAGTTTGCCCATCAGTTTTAGGGTGATAGGTAATAGATAATTGTATATGGACTCCTTGTAAAGTCATGAGTTCCTGCCAAAATTTGCTCACAAACACCTGATCTATAAAAGTTTGAGAAACTGATTGAGCTGTATAGGGATGAGATAATGTCATAAAATGTGTTGGCTTACTCAATCGGTCAACAACCACTAAGATGGCCTGCTTCCCTTTCGAAATTGGTAGACCATCAATAAAATTCATTGAGATGTGCTGTCATACTTGACCTGGAATTGGAAGAGGTTGCAACAATCCAGGGTATGGTGTGGTTTCATACTTGCATTTCTGACATACAACACAATGCTTGACGAACTCTTGCACATCTTTATTCATTCCTCTCCAATACACTACTAACTTAATTCTTTTTAGTGTAGCATTTCTGCCATAATGACCTCCCATTGCAGAGTTGTGCATCCATTGAATGAGGTCATTTCTCAGTTGTAAGTCTTTGCCCACCACTAGCTTTCCTTTCCTCCTGAGATCAGTATCATTCCATTGATGATGTCTATGTGAATTCTTATTCTCCTGCCATTGCTGTATTAATTTCTGTACTTCTGTGTCTTGAGTGCAAGAATTTCTGATCCTATTAATTAGATCAGATTCCATAGTATTTGTGACT